TTAGCCATAAATATAACCCTGGCAGAAAGAAGCACCTACGCGTAGACAGCGTCGGCTTTGGCTTTATCGCCGTAGAACCGAACAACAGAGAACTCCTATCTTACCATTAGTATGCTTGTCCAAAACAATCAATCCAACCTGTTCAGGGCGCTCTAAGCGGGACACTTACCGTCTCAACCTGGCCGGGGTCGACCTCCATAACACGCACGCGTGTGGCAATAAGCTCCTTGCGCAGAGACTCGCTGAAGCTGCGGATAGCGGCCTTCGTGGCGCAGTAGATACTTCCCCCGGCGTATGGCTCGCGACCGGCAATGCTGCCGATGTTGATAATATCACCGGCACCACCGTTGGGCCGGCGCAGGAAGGTAGGTAGGATCGCCTGCGTCATGTTGATGAGACCTGTCACGTTTGTCGCGAACATAACGTTCATGTCCTCCTCGGCGATCTCGGGTGCCTTAGCTACGCCCTTAACGAGGCCGCTATATGCATAGTGTCAGTCATGTCATACCTCTTCAATCACTCCTGTTCATACATCCAATACGTAGCCATTCAACATAGCGCATTCCCTCTTCACTGCCATGAGACAGGATCGGGAAATGTAGAGCAGAGATAGGTAATAGTAGGAACTCACGCATTATTCACAAGCACATCAACCTCCTTGAACTCCTCCGGCAGCTTGCCGACGAAGCTCCGCACCTCCTCAGGCTTGCTGATATCGAGCTGCACGGGGTGCACCTTGACGCCGTCGCCGACCTCGGCCTGGATATCCGCCGCGATCTGCCTCAGCGCGTCGATGCGGCGCGCGGTGAGCACGAGCTTGATGCCGCCCGCCGCCGCCGCCGTCCGCGCGAACTCGAACGCCGTGCTGCGCCCGATCCCCGACGACGCCCCCGTGATCACCACCGTCTTGCCCGCGAGGCGCTTGGCGACGGCCGAAGACATGGCGTGCTGCTGCGCGAACAACGCGGATCCGGGCCTCAGTGCTTGCTGGAGGAGGAGGGGTGTCAGGTGCAAGCCAGACGCTGCAGGTCTGGAGGAAAGTGTGCGGAGCGTGTGGTGAATCGAGGTTACTGTGTGAGTTAGGGGCATGTAGACAAAGTGGTTGCTGCAAGCCTCATTCGCGCTTTTGGAAATAGAGGGGAAAATAAAAAAAGTGATGGCTACTACCTAACGTCCCGGGAAAACCAGGTTATCGACGTGTATATCCGTTAGTGCTGGGTTACAGTGGGCGGGCAATCTGCTCGGGATGCGGGTTGGTATATTCGATATCGGAGCAAGTACGATGTCGCCATTCCTACGACGGAAAGTGCTAATCTCAACCCCGCCAGGGCCTTTTTCCGCATCTGTCCGCCGTTAATCGTCGTGGTGCAACTTTAGCACCCGGTTTTAAACCCCGATTTTCCGCCATGTGGTTCTAGGGTGACTAAGGTGGTCACTCATTTGTCTACGTCAAATTCAGCAGCAAACTAAAAGCATACGAGGTAGCTAGCGTTTTTGTTTTACCGCTACCGGATCACTGCTTTATAAACATAAATTTGGTTGCCTCTCCTATGGCCGGGTATGCCTAAGTCTTCACAGGCCGTAAGACGTCATCAACTCCGGTTTTCCGCTTAGACCTACACTTAGGACGATGATCAGGATATCCTTTCGTACGCTGCAAGACACACCCAATTTTTATGTCTAGATTGGCTCTTTGTATAATATGAAGAATTTTTTGAGCACAATTGACACTGCTCCGTCATCTTCATTTCTTCCAAGCACCATCATCCCTAGAAATTCTCAGCGCAATGGAGGATTAAACAATCCCATAAGTGATTATTTCTGATTTCATGGGATGAATGAGGAATGTACTAGAGTAACTTCTGTCATAGACCTATGTTTTAATCCATGCTACGGTCGCGCAACGGCAGACTAATATGTCACAGTTCGTGCGGAACATATATCTGAGAGTTTGCTATGCCGCTCTGTAGTTTCTTGCGCTTTTATACCGCTAGAATTGATATTATCAGATCCTTCTTTCTGCCTTAGTAACTTTCGCCGAGGGGAGAGTGTTCAACTATCACAGATATCATAGTTTTAACCATCACCGCGGCATGAAAGCTCTGACTTTAATAATTCAATATTTCAACTCGTAAAATGAGAAGATATGTACCATATGCTAGCGAGGATACTTTCATAATATTAATAGGGCTTATAAGCGTTACAATGTTTGCTACAAGGACGAGAAAAACTGTAGAAACGTATTAACCTTATAAAAGGCGTAAACAGGTTGTTAGACGATTATAAGTAACATGAAATATATATCTAGTAGGATATCACTTCGAGAATAGGCGAAGCATAAATTTGAGGACAGCACTAAAGTCAAGCTCGTTTGGGGTGTGAGAAGCCGAAAATTGAGAGACGGCCCATGGATTGTGCTGATGACGGATCATATCATAAAGCGGGCTGCCGTGCTAAATGCTACCGAGCTCACTTTCCGGGATTCATATTGTGGTACAGAGATCAAAGATTAGGCCTACCAAGGTAAGCAAACCCGGTTAAATAAACGCAGGTCGGTCAGGCACCGACTAACTGGCTACTAGAGTGGGAGTACTTTTTGGAATATCAGCATCCAGTCTGGTCGAAGGCGTACCCATTCGAGTTTAGTATAGATAGAGCGTACCTAAGCCGTCAAGTAGAATGTACCTACAAGCCCGCGCTGTATTAGTAGGTACCTAGGTAGCCTCGCAACCACAGCCCTATCTCGCTGGGCCTAAGGAGGAAGGAGCAAGGTTATAACTTATGGTAAGAGCATCTCCCACTATCAGATGTTCCCAACTGCTCATCCTAAATGGTGTAGTGGTAAAACAGTCGCCAGGATAAACTCTTGTGTCAGAGGCAGGGCCATAGGCATTCAAGGGTTTTCCGGTCCAGTGGATGTTGAGTTCGGCTTAAGCCTTTGGATTCTTTTTTGCATATTTTGTAAGGAGTTAAGTGTTCGAATCGGATCGTTGTCAAATTACTACCTTTTTTTCCTCTTCACCTCCCTCCTCCTTTAACACATTCCCATGGTTACTAATTGGTTTCTTGCTGGTCACCCCGTTGCGTATGCGCGCCGACCCGACAGGTCCCTATTTGTAGGCTACCATATTGTCAACTACGCAGTGATCACGCAGTAGATCATCAACACGCTCAAGAGCGATAACCCTGTTATCGTCTTGCTATAGTGTAGCGAGGCTTTGGCATGCCCGAACAGACGAGGAATACGCGGCTGTAATCCGAGGCCTAATCAATGTAAGTACTTTAGAAACAACATTCGAGTCTTGCATTAAGCAAGTCCAGGGGCGAGATCGCAATCTGAAGCAACCATTGTTCTTATGAGTGATTAGTTACATGCTTCATTCGAAATAGGCGCAATGCCGTCACCCGTCCTAGGTGACCTTGGAAAGCGGAAGAACGTGCCCATAAACGAGGTCTCGCTCGTAGGCGAATGAGGCTACCGCCCGAGGCAGAGTGGACAACTGAGTGGAATTACCGTCGGTTGGCGGCTCTCGCAGAGTTCCAGGTATGTCAGACCCAACATCACACCGATAACCTTCATTATAATACCTCACTTTTAGGATAGAGGAGACTTAACAAAGATTGCCAGGCATCCCGGGCACTCAATATGGGTGATCTTGAGCCCGTGCCTTACAGGGGTTTCTATGTTATCAGCTTGCTTTCGTATGCCCTTTGGCGCTGAAATGTCCTACAGATACTTGAAACCGCGACATACAGGTCAAGTCGCTGGGTTTGGCACCGCGAGGTGTAATATCACTAATTTTTTTTTCTTTTTCTTTTTCCCATTTACTGTACCTCCAGGATCCTGAGTTGTGCTGAGCCATATAAAGAGCGCATCTTCACAGCCCTAGACAAGCTGGACACCAATTATCCCTTCAGTCCAATCTGCCAACCATTCTTCGACCAGGAATATTTCACCCCGAGTAGGTTAAATTGGTAAAGCATTGGCCGTCTTGAAACTGAGGAGTAGCATGCCATGGCTATATTGCGGTGATCGCAGAAGTAGTTTGGAGGAACCGCTTACGGATTATCCTAAAGGACGACTGAGTGGTAAAATGGAAGTTTTTTCTGTTAATTTTTATTTTACTTCTTTTTGTTTTTATTTTTCTTAAACATGGCTGCCAGGTCTTGCCTGGGCTCGAAATAGGCGAGACTGGCAGAGAAATAAATCATATACATGCACCATCACCATCTCCACCACCACCTTAAAGGCTGTGTCTGGGGCATTTTGCACCTAAAAACAATAGCGCCCCGACAGGTACCTGAATTACATCCAAAGAAACATCAAAAATAGCACCAAAACTGTTTCTTTAGGTGTGAATTGCTTTAGATACAACTATAAGGTGGTGGTGGATGTGTATAACTTATTTCTCCGCCAGCCTCGCCGGGCAGGCTCTAGCCAGAATAAACCTGCCGATCCCCCACCAGGATGACTAGCACCGCTTTTTTAGCCCAGACTAGTGGATGCTAGATGATGTACAGTCCCATCTACTTATATGCTGTGTAGTAAAATATGTAGCAGTTATCATGCACGTCAGCCGCATTGCATTTAACGGCGTTTTAAAGCCGCCTTGAATAGCTTCTTCCATTGGCCCGGGGCTCCGCCCCAAGCTGCGCTGCCACCGCCGCTTCACTGCTGTTATCTCCCCTTCACTGCTTTTTTAGCCCATCTCGGCCAGCTCAGACCCCACCTACCGAGACCAATGAGATTATCTTCCGATGAATCTGCTCTCGTACGAGAACTTGAGGTTTCATTCACTAAGATCCCCGAGCCGAGCTGGGGGTAAGAATCATACACTATCTAGAGCACTCGGGCACGCCAAGATCCTAGGAGTGAAGATGGCCCCACAACCCCACCAGCCAGCCAATTTTGTCATCCGTGACTGCCAGCACACTCAATTAGGTCATATAGTGGAGAATAACAACTTTTGGCACTCAATCACATCAAGCGAGCACCGACCGGTTGTGTAGTGTAGCGGTTAGCACGTGGGATTTTGAGCAGCCTTCAGTGGCATACACCAACATTCCTGAGACCCCGGTTCGAGCCCGGGCACGACCTAAGAACCATTTATTTTGCCTTATTACTATATAATAACTAGCTACCTTGATTAAAGGCTTTTTTAACTTTTAATTTTTTTTAAAATGAAGAAAAAGGGTATATATATAATCATACAAGTTTGTCTTAATTAAAGTAAAAGTTTATGATAAAGACAATGTCGTTAACTTGGCCGGGCGAGATCTATGTGTGCCATGGCCAGTTTCATTATGCACATTTCTTAGCTAGATACTCTTTAGGTAAATTCATAACTTATTAATCTCATAGGTAGCCAAGTATGGGGAGTTAAACCACCGTTCTGAAAGTATAGCTGTAGTGCGGCTAGCTAGCTGTATGTACACTTCTATTTTACTGGAAGATGCAACATGAAGAATGCCAAATGCTAGAAAGCTTTCTATTTCTAGTTAGCTGCAGTAAATATTAGTAAAGGTATTTATTTGTACATTCATGTACCTCCTTTCATTCCTGTTATCACTCTCAGTCTCGCTGACCAGGGTGTTGTGCTAAACTATCACAAGGTCTATTATTGGCGCAGTCTCTCGCCCAGACCCCGTTCTTCTCATAGCCATACCGCCCTGTCAGATTCACAGCCGGATCCTAGCGTTCACAACTTAACCCCCTAGACCTGGGGTTGCCGACTTGTCCTTGCCCTATGTAGGACGGATACCTGTGTACTGTGACGGCGATGAGTAGTATCTAGCGCCTTCACTCTATCGCGATGAAGAAAGCACCGAGCCTCGACAGTTCCCACAAGTAGATTAAGGCGTTTCCTACCGCTACCGCAGTGCTTTCGCAGGCTTTCCCAGGAATGTAGGTAACCCCTGATCTGTAAATCTCTTGTCCAGCGCAAGTGAAAGAATCGATTCGAAGTCTGTATGCATGCATATCTCAAAATCAGGTCTTCTAACTTCCCCCTCTAAATCTATGGTAGGCTTCTAACTTGCTCTTCCTTTCTGAAGCGTTGTCAAATCTCGAAGGTACTGTACGTTAAGACGTAAAACTCGTAAATGGTCATAGTAATATGAAACCAGGTGCGTTTTCCGTAACTGCATTTGACTGGCGTCCTTGAATCAGTGGAAGCTACGCCTCGGCTTCATGCGCATTTGGCAGTTGGGTTGATCCGTCAAACCAACTCTTAATGGCTGCTATTGCAATATCGTACTCGAAGCTGACAGTATCCTTTGGGCCTAGCGGTAGGGGCTTGTCCCAAGCATGCTTCTCCCCCTCTACCACGCGGACGCTGATCTTCTTGCCTCGGTTTTCGAGTCTCTCTGCGAAAAGCTGACCCTCGGCTAGCAGCATGTCGTATTCGCAGAGACACAGGTGAACAGGCGGCAGTCGATCTATCAATTCATCGGGCATCAAGCCCGGTGACAATCGTATGTCATTCCGTTCTCGCCGTGGAAGCGGTGGATGTAGATAGGATGCATCGATCAGATTTGTCAACCCGCTAGATAGTGTCATGTCTGGTCGTTTGCAGGCTTTTCGCTTTTGTGGCCGGTCTAAGGTCCAATCTAGCAAAGGGTAGAAGAGAGCAAGCCCGGCAATCTTAGGCACGGGAGATGGTAGTTCGTATTTCCATCTTTCAGGATCTTGCAAGACAATCCAGCTACTCGTCGCCAGCGTAGCGCCAGCAGAGAAGCCCGACAGCATGATACGATCCGTATCAATGTCATATCGATCTGCGACTTTGCATATTTGAATGATGGCGTCGACGCAGTCCTCCACCGGCGTTGGGAAGGGATAACCTGGAGCGAGGCGATAGTTGACCGAGAAAACCACAGCACCTAGACTGCTCACGAGAGCATCGGCCCACCGCGCGTCATCAGTTCCCTGGCCGAGTATGAAACCACCGCCATGGAAATTGATCACAGCCGGCCTCTTTTCTACATCCGAAACATGGGAGCTGCGAGAGGGGATCCATACGTTTGCGCTAATCCTCTCTTTGCCTTTATGCTCGCTCAGAGTAGATTCCAACCAAATCGTTTCTGTAGGAGGAAGCGCAGGCAGCCCCGAGCGGTTACCAAGGCGGAAGCCGATGTTAGCCCCGAGCCGAAGGGCGAAGGCGTGGGCACCCAGCAGCCAACGGGGGCTTTTGTCTGCCGGGTTCACGTAATCTTCCTCGACGGGCGGTGGCCCAATGTCGTGGATGGAAGCGACTTCGGTGGTATCGACTTCAGCAGTATCTTTCTTATCCTTAGACATCTCCACAATACTTTTGCCGTATTAGATTTGGCTGTCTAGCAACCTGATGTAGAGATCTTATCAACTATAAAAAGATCTAAACTTTATCTCGAGGTGAATGTTTGGAATTATCCAGAGTAAAACGTGTAATTGACTACTAAATGGGACAGCTGACGATGACGTCGTGATTTACATACCCCTGTACGCTTGCTCCTTGAAATTGAAAATGACGATCGAGTTGCCTCGGCTAATGAATTAGCCTCTTTAGTGCAAGTTCGATACGCATTCATTAGAATGGAAACGCAACACGGATTATTTCATCTTGTATGAATCGAGTACCCGAAATTCAGATCACATGGCGCACAAACATGATATTTTGGTCTTCTGAGTGGCTTAGTTGATCTTATGGAGGGTGCTGACGCTTCCACAAACACTAACACACTAACTTTAGATCAGCTTCTACTAGTTTTCTATATTGAGCCTAGTTTTCTAGATCCAGCTTCATCTACCCCGATTCACTCACGATTTATCAATAGTCTCAAAGTGCGTGAGGTATACAGCTCGCATCATGAACACATGTGCACCACAGCTTTCGCTAGAGAAAAGTAAGCTGTACTTCTTAGCAAATTCTCATTAAGTTAGGTGAAGATGAATTCGATATAATTTGACTATAGTCTCTACATGCCTGCCCATTCCAGACAGAAAGCCCTAGCTGGTGGGGCTACTAGGTGGCTGTTTAGGCTTGACTTATCGCCATTTTCTTCCTGCGATGCATCATGGCCATCATCTTTTGTTTTTGCACATGATCCATCAGCTACAGCTCCGCCGAACAGGTACCCCTTCTTGACAGAAGTAGCAAGCCGCCCGCCTGCAACAAGATCCATCATCGTGATCTCTTCATCCCAGCTAAAGTGAACGGCAACGAAATGGCTGTGGAAACGCAGAGGATCACCGGGGTACACATTGTAGTCGCATCCAAAGCGAATACCCGGCATCATGTAATATCCTTTATCGTGTAGGTGCGCAAACAAAGGGTAGGAGACAGGCACATCTACAGAAATGGGGGGCTCTGGTTCTGATTCCGATGGTGTCAAGAGAAATTTGCTGGTGGTGGGTGTAAGGGCATAGCCTTCAACTTCGTCAGGCGATTGCGAGACCGGCCTACGCCGTGTAGGGGCCGAGTCGAAGAGGCTGATACTCTCTTCTGCCTCATTGCCTCTCTCAGGTAGATTAGCAGTGAAACTATCTTCCGGCTCTTTGGGTTCCTTCTTTTTTGCTTTCCCCTGATGCGTCTTTGGCATATTGCGCTTACTACTTTCTATCGCAGCCATCTGTAGCCTCTTACCCTGATTCTTAAGCGATTGTAGGTAAGCCTGCCGAGATGCCTGATCGACTACAGCCAATCGAGACGGGTGGAATGTCGCGTCATCGGCGATGTAGGCTACCTTCTTGCGGACTAAGACTTGCGCCTCTTCAGGCATAAGCTCTAAAGGCAGCCCCATGAACACATTCTGCTGGGGATTCTGAGGTATGGTCCCTATGAAGACGGAGCATATGTTGTAATTTCTGCGCAGATACATCACGTCGTCTATATCAAAGAGCAGATACCGTCCTCCGACTTTTGTTATCCTCAGCATAGGACGATTTGGAGGCGAGGCAGAGGCCATTGTCGCGCCGGCAACGGTCCTGTCTAGAAATGCGTCAATCTCTGCCCTTTCAAGCTTGCGACGGATACGATAAATAGTAAAGTTATTCGGGCGATCATAAAACCAGATAATAGGTTATCAACAAATTGTATTTCAGTGGATTGACAGATATTGATTTGGTGTAATCATTATAGAATTATTGCTAGAGGGAGAAAATAAAAACGTCTTCGACTTACCTTTATTTTTGTTGTGGTTTGGGTTTGGTTAGAATTCGCCCATTTGCGCAATCTTGGGAAAAGTTTGGAGGTTGTGGGGTCTTCGAGGCCCACAGGCTCCAAGTTGTTAGTTGTATATATGCAATATCCTATATTGTGCGCATAACGCATACAAACATTGCTGGCTGGTGCTTCCGACGGAGCGTGCGTATATACTCAAAAGTCCATGCTTGGCTTTCCTACATCTTTTTCTTTAGGTTCGTTTTCATCGCTGTCGGCAGGTGGAAGGTAGAAAGGTTTGATAATCAAGCCCCTTGAACGACTGAGGCTAAAGGATTGGTCATCAAGTGCCGAATGTGAGCCGCCGCCCTTCTCGTGTAAGATTGGCAAACTGTGCACTTTTATCAAACCTTGTACCTGTTCATCATCTTTGCGCTCGCCCTTTGATGATGGCGGAGGTTTGTGGATAGATATAGACTGTAACGGTATGAATTCAAGCACGCCGTCACATAGCAACTCCACCCATCGAGTAAGGCCAGTGGTCCGAGGATAAAGGGTGAGGGGGAGGGTTAATATCACCGTCATGGTCTTGGAATACTGCCTCAACAGAGCTCTCATTGCATGCAAGAACTGCAATACCTCCTGGGGGAGGCAGGATGAGCTCGAGTACATAGTTGGAGACAAGAGATTTGGGATAATCACACGATGGATCCAAGACGGTGGAGAATTTGCCAGCTTTGATGATAGGTCTCTGATGAAGAGCTTGAATGGAGATGACGAGTCGCCATGTCGAGACCCAAGGTCGGGGCCAGCCATGGACGGGTGAAACCCAACCTGACCTTTCACATCGCCAGGATTCAGTTTCTTTGTAAGGTCGAACGAGTGGCAGAATGTAGAAATGGTGTCCGCATTTGATATACCTTGCCGTTGCTGTGCTTCTCTATCTATAAGAGTGGTA